GGGATACGTGGCATAATTATATACATTAGATTTAGGTTAATTGGTTATATTTTTAGTTATAATTTTTTTTTAGTTATTTCACCCAATTTTCTTACAAAAGGCGACCCACATGGATGTATCTAACGTGTCAACTACTGATTCGATGATGTACAAAATATTGTCTGGTCTCTACTTTAGATTATAAAATTTCAGTATTACAGTACAAAGAGGTTTTCGATGACGTAAGCAAAGGTTTTTACCAGATTTGAACCTGGACCGTCTGATCTCGGTTTGGAAATAATCGACTGGTGATTCCGCTTTAACGCCGCTTCGAGTTATAAAAAAACGTGTGTATTCGAATAGTCTGACGTGGCTTTCAAAATTGTTAGTGGAAAAAATAAATAAAGGGGATTTATTATTATTGCTACGTGTGGGGTCGTAAATCAGAAAAAGAGATTTAAATCGAACGGTCTAAACGTTTCCCCGACAAAATGACGTGTCCGTCTGGTAAGCGGATAGTCTTACTTACGCATTTATGTGGGCCCATACGTGACGAGGACTCGTTGCCTCACCTACCTTGATTTTCCTAAAATACCCTTATGACTTCAACTAATTACCAGCCGCATTCTTTGAAACTTTTGAATATAGCAGCCTCATGTTCACACTTACCTTATCGAGTTTTAGCAAGCCCAGGCCCACATATTTGACGCCCAATCTCAGATATAAGGCCCAATTTTATTTTCCCAAAAGCCCAAAACGAAGGAGACTAAAGGCTTTTTTTTTTCTTTTTTCAACGACTAAAGGCCTTAAAATACAGTTTACTAGTGAAAATGCACTTAAAACTATATATATATATATACTAACGTTGATATAATTAATGATGTTGAAGATTTATGTTTATAATTTTTATTTATACAAATTCAAACATCATTTTCAAATATTTAATATGAAAGTGAACCATATGATGATATATATAAATATTTTCAGTTGAATACTATATTTCAATTTTTTCTAGAATTTAGCGTATTATTTTGGAATCTATTCGTTATAGTCCGTGTCCACTATTGAAAAAAAATATTGAGTCCATACGTGACCGAAAAGATAAAACTTATAAAGTAAAATATGCAATAATTTATAGATAAACACGTGTAAAAAATTTATGAAATTTAAATTTTTTTGAAATTATTGATCACATATTTGGTTTACAGAATTTGATTTTTATATTATCTAAATTTGTATAGCTTATACTATTTTTTAACAAAATGATAGTTTTTCTATAAATTTATTTTTTATTCATATCTTTATGACCATTTGCATAAAATACTCTATATAAAAATCAATATCGTATGTGACATAAAAAAGTTTTTTAGTTTTTTCAAAACTATTTTTTTATCTATCAATAAATGAAGTTCATAACATTTTTTTAAAAACTAAATGTTAGTTTATATCTCTAATATTAGTTGTATAGAGAAAAAATCTAGTACAAAATTGTCAATGGTGTGTCAAGATTAATTTAAGCTTGGCCTAAATTTACAAAATTATTGTATCAATTATTGATATTTAATACCATACGTTACAAAATATTGATATACAAAACATGATATAAAATTATATAATGACATTATGGCATGTCGCCAATACAAAAAAATATCAGAACAACTTATATACTTTTTTAATTAGTTATTTATAGAATAATTTAATTTTAATATAAGATATACTCTTAATATATTTGATCAC